GAAGAGGAGCAGATGGTGAGATGAGACTCACTGATCTTCAGTGCTCCTCAGTCACATGTGGGTCTGAATCAGTGATGGGCTGTTTGTAGAAAACACTGTGTGTCACTGAGCTGCTCTGCTTTATTCTCCCAGTAATGAGTCTACAGTTTGTCTGAGAGTGTTTCTCTGTGTTGAGGTTGAAGACTCATGTCAGCTGTGCTCTTTCTCTTTCAGAGTGGTTTCAGGTTCGAGGTCCAGCTGCTCCTGTGATTGTTTTCCCTGGTGAAGACGCTGTCCTGCCCTGTTACCTCTCACCTGAAATCAGTGCTGAGGACCTACAGATCAGGTGGTTTAGAAAGGATTACAATGACCCTGTGTGTTTGTATGAATCAGGCTGGTATAACTTTGAAGGACAGAGCCCAGACTACAGGGACAGGGCTGGTCTATTCCCAGAGGAGCTCCACAGAGGCAATGTGTCTTTATCACTGAGAGATGTGAGACGCTCTGACCATGGACAGTATAAATGCTATGTGGTATCTAAACAGGTGGAGGATGACACTGTTATTGACCTGGGTGTGAGAGGTAAGTGTCTTTCTCCCAAAATTACACACAGTAAAAATGAGAAATTAGATACTAATGATGAGTTATAATACATTAAATAATGTCTTAAAAGAACAGTACTGATAAACTGAGCTCAGCTGTACTCTGTCAGGAGAACTCAGAATTTCACAGTTAAGTCGAAATTGACATAATATTAAACATTAAATAAAAATTCACGTTTCATTGCTTTCAACTATGCAGTCTATGAAAGATAATTTTGTGACTGTCTATATTTCTCTGCCATAGAGAAAATCCCTCGTACTGGGATGGGCCTTTGGCAAAGATGATTTTACATGCTGTTAATACCTACAAATTTAATAGATGTCTTATTTTTACACAATAGTCCAGCTACACAATAATGCACCAGATAAAAGTGAGGTGGACAACTTTACAGATTGTTTAATTCAGATCAAATGGCAGTGAGAACAGTTATTACCACATTGTAACTAATTTAAATCGCAGCACTAAACCGAGTCCTTAATAATCATAGACTTCAGACAGCTGGAACTCACTATACTACACAACACAGTACAACACTACACTACACACTCCAGTCTGCACAGGCAGTTGCATTTGAGGGCACTGAGGATCCTGACTTGTGATGTCAGCTCAGTCCTCACATTAAGACACTCAGTGTCTCGGCTCCTGTCAGCTTCCATTACTGCTGTGACTTTTCATCGACACAACATGATATAACACAGCTCACCACTGCAAAATAAAGTACAGAGCAACACTACTGTACACGCTACAGCACAACACTACACCACTCAGCAGTATATAGTAGAGCAGTACGCATTACAACAGAACTCAATCTAGTACGAATTAACATATTACAACCTACAGTGGCTATCAAAAGTATTTACCCCTCCCCCCCACGGATGTTTTCACATTTAACTGTTACAATATAGAATCACTGTGTATTTATTTGGGATTTTCTGCCATTGATCGACACAAAGCACTCTATAATGTCAGAGTGAAAACAAAATTCTACAGTTCTTCCTAAATTTGAAATATAAAACAGAATATAAGTGATTACATAAATTTGTTGTAACAGAAGAAATAAGGTTCTTGATCCCGAGATGAAGTGAAACAGATGAGTTTATTGCATGCAAGGAACAATAAAGCCGAAGTCTTGTTTCCCGCAAGAAACAACAAAACCGAAGTATTGTTCCCCGTATTGTTACAAACTTTTGGGTTATATACAGTTTTCTTCTCCGT